GACCGGTGAGTAGTTGGGATGGTGAATATCTATGCTCACTAGAATGGCCTGATGCGTAAAAGCTCTTGTTGCATGTAATATTGCGTGTCCCCAAGCAGCTACTGTGAGTTCAAGTATGGACATGTGCCACAGGGTATACTACTCTCCCCCTCATGGACATACTGTAGCCATAAAACGCTTGAGACATAATTTACCATCATTATCTAGACATATAGTCTTAAGTATGTGGGCTCACAGACTTATGGTCTGGGCCAGCAATCTAGCAAACACCAAGTTTCTAGTTGCTTTGACTGGTGATGGCCTTAGTATGAGTTTCCCTTGTGTACATGCTACACACGTGAGGTCCTTAAGGGGTGTGCCCTTTTGATTTTAATATCAGCTTTACGCATCATGTTAGAACCAGGCTGGCCAAGCCGGTCATGCCATTAGTGAATTTCTCAGTAAACCCTTTTGTTTACTGTATTAGCCTTTATCATATTGACCTTGGCATAGTAAAGGTCAATGACGCGGGTATAGTCTCTAAGACCTTCTCATGGTCTTGGGTGCTCTTAGTAATATATGGGAATCCTTTGTTCCCTTCACCCTTAGTTTCAATGTGGAAACCATTCAAACACATTTATTTGAAACTCAACAAGCCCCTTTGAGCTGGGTGAATATGAAGCATCTGAGGATGCGTGCCCTAGGGAATATGGGCCTGCCCTTAGCCTTCACTAAATTTAGCTATACCCGCAATTTGGCTAATGAACCATGTCTTTAGATATTTTGTTTATTGATTGATGAACTAAATGAGCTTCTAGATTCTTTTCAATCTCTCTTGATAGAGATCAACGAGATGCTTAGGTGTCTTGCACGTCTTAGTCCAATGGTTTCCCCATTCCTCATCAGTGGCAAACAAGTTTATTTGAGTGTTGTGGTTTGGGTATACCGCGGCCTCTACCTCGATTACGACCAAAGTCGGGTCGGCGGCTTTAACCATATGAATGGTTTCCTTGATCATATAAATTATAATTGCCACTTCTACCACGTTCATTCCATTTACCATTACTGTGGCCATGATACTTATCTCTTTGGATGTGGTTAGACTCTTTAGTCTCTTTAGGCTCTTTAGGCTCTTCAGGCTCTTCAGCCCAATGGGCTTCTGATAATGAGGTAGGACCAGGAGGTCTCATTTCACTATTTATAACTCATTGTTTTACTCAGCAAGTAGCAAAACAAGAGTTTAGACTTGCATATGTGGTAAAAACATTTTTCACGATATTGTTGCTGAGGCAATATATTGTTTGTGTGAAAGGTCGAGAATGCTTTTTCTAGCAAGTCATTCTCAGTAACTTCCTCACCACGAAATCTCAGTATTGATACTATTTTAAATAGTGCTGAGTTATACTCATTTATGGATTTGAATTCCTGGAATCTGAGATTCTTTCGATCGAATCGGGCTTTTGAGTAATAGCACCGTTCTTTGGTGGTTATATTGATTTTTTTTTTCAACTCTGTCCTGAGGTCCAGAGGATTTTTAATAGTGATGTACTGATTTTGATACTCTCATTGAGGTGATGGCGTATGTTAGTAATCGCCTTATATCTTTCTCTTCTGGTGACATTGTTTCCTTCCACAATAGATTCACCAAGCTCTTTTTCCTTTAGGACAATCTCAGTGTCCAAAGCCCATCGTAAATAATTGTCACCAAAGGCATTGAGTGCCGTGTATTCATAATAGTTGATTTCTAACATCTATAATATATAGAGTTAAATGAGAACTCATGTAATCGGTTAGACCAAGTCATGCGGTATTTAAGACCGAGCCATGCTTGTCTTCAACAAGTGTTTTCTAAACAATCATGTTATATATATATATATATATATATATATGGATGAAATCAACCCTAGAAGATTGATCTAGTATGCAACAAAAAAATAACCAAACAATCGGATCATACTAGATTAGGATATTAGGATTTTGCGGTTAAGTTTTAGGATTTTAGCATCCGCGATTTATAGTACTTGGGTTTTTGCTAGGGTTTCGGTTTTATGTATGGAATTTTCTATTTATGGAAACTTTCCTTATATGGAACTTTCCATTTATGGAAACTTTCTATTTCTCATCTAGAAAGAAATCCTAAACAAACATGTACTTTAGGGTTTTGGAATATTTCTTTATGAATGGGGTTTCCTATTTTGGTAACTTTCCATTTTGGGAAACTTGCTATTTTAGGGAACCTTTTATTTTGGGAAACTCGCTATTTTATGAAACTTTCTATTTTAGGAAATTTTCTATTTATAGAAACTTTCTATTTTTAGAGATTTTCTATTTATAGAAACTTTCTATTTATGTTTATTTTGGGAAGCTTTCTATTTTGGGAAAATTTTGCCATTTTAGGAAACTTAATCGGGAACCGAGACTTAGGGTTTACGAGAACCGGATTTAATCGAGGATTTAGGGTTTCGGTTTTCATTTGGATTATACCGAACATAAGTCCGGTTTTAGGTCTATAATCAAACCGCAACTTGCAGTTAGGGTTTCGCATTTTAAAATCGCGATTAGGATTAAACCGGTTATGATCTGGTTAAGGTTTCGATTAAGGTTTCGGTTTAGAATTAGAAACGGAAATGGCGGTTTGGTTTTCGCGATTAAAATCGCGATTAGGGTTTATATTTATGGAGGTTTTATGGCATGAGAGAACAATCAAGCAAACCGGTATAGGTTTTTAGGGAATAAGATCGCGATTTAGATTTCTATCATTAGGGATTCAATTCAATAAAAAAAACAAGCAACATAATTTAAGGTTTTATATATTGAGAATCGCGATTTAAGATTTTAGGGTTTAAGATATGCGCATAGGATTTAATCAAAACAGATTCTATTTTATGATTGAGGGTTTAGATTCATGAAACAAAGCAGATTATAAAATCTCTATCAACCTAACTCTAACAGATTTAAAACCTCAAAAGATCATTCCATTAATCAACAAAACAATCCATGCACACGTAAATTAGGGTTTCAGATTTTAGGGTTTTAGTTTAAACATAAATCAGATTCGATTCTGGGTTTTCAGAGTTAGGTATACCTTTAACCACTGATTGAATTTTGAATTGATTGGAACCGGGAGCTAAAGACCTCGGTAACTCACGCTGCTGCAACGAACCGCAAACAGTACCACGATGAACAATATCGCGATGAACAGTATCGTGATGAACAGCATCGACGATGAACAGTGTCATCGATGAACATTACCGCGATGAACAGTACCGCGATCGGATCTGATGATGTGCGGTTTTTAGGGTTTTAGCGATTTTTAGGGTTAGGGCTTTTTGAAGGTGGTTTTATTTCTCTAGAGCAAACTCGTGCTGATAACGTGTTGTAAACTGTGTAATCTTATTAACACATAAGAGAGTATATATATGAGTTTACACGAGAACACAAGAAGGAGATAAAACCTAATGGACCTTGGACCGGTTATGGATTCCATCCATATGATTTATAACATATGATGCTAAATTAGGAAAATCTCTTAATTTTAAATTAGTAGTCTAAGTTATATCTCTATGTATGATAGATTCTAAAAGCTGAAATAACTATTGATCGTTGTGTTCTATATGAAAACCAAAAGTGTATGTATGAAAGCCAAAATTTCGATGGATTTCTACCAAAAGAAGTTGTTAATCATAAGATTCAAGTAAAAATGGAAGTTAGTTGAAACAATGAGTTTAGAAAATAAGAAAATTTGTTTTAGTTTTCAATTTACAAAATAAATAAATTAACCTAATATTAAATTCTAAAAACTTAATAATTCTAAAGTGTTAGTCTCAAATGTTCAAGAAAACGCTAGGCGCTAAGCGGGCGGTGATCGGTGCCTAACGCCTCGAATGCCTAATCGGGGCCTAGGCAATTTTTAGGCGGTTTTGACGTTTATAACATAAAATATTATATATAAAAGTTATATAAAATATCTATATAAAACTAAAAATTATGAAATTATAAACAAAAACTAGACATAACATTCATTTATATTTATATTAAACGATATATGAATATTTCTTACTACATATATAAATAAAACTTAATTGAAATTGAAAAAATTCATTAACAAGATCTATGTAATTTTAGGCGGTAAAAGCGGTTATCTAGGCGTCACATGACAGCCTAGCGCCTAGTCGGGGCCTAGACGACCGCTTAGACCGCTTTTTAGAACACTAGTAAACTATAAATAACCATCCAAAACTTAAAATGTTAGATAAATTTTAAAAGCCGAAATAACAAAGAAATTCTCTTTGGTTTTTCGGAATGTGAAGCATTATTGAGATTAGTTCGAGAGAAAAAAAATAGGGGCAAGGTTATGTGACTCCAAAGACATATATATTAAATACCATATGATGTTTTATCCTCAACTCTAAATCAATTTTGATCCGTTTTATCGATAAAATTATTAGATCTGTTAAAAAAGTGACCGCGTAGATGCAATTTAGTATAGTTAAAAAAAATAGTTTGGGTTGAATTCCAATAATCACGTTTATATATTTTGGTGTTGTGCTACTCTGTTTTGATGTTGTTGTCAAAACTGGATAGAAAAGATCACCAAAAAAAAAACCTGGATAGAAAAAGTTTTTGGCCATAAAAAAACAAAACAAAAAAGACATTCGTATAAACAAAATTAACGTACACTTCATCAATGTGTAACAAAGCCAAAATGTCCGTACGTGTCGTGAAAACAAAACCAAATTATTCGAAAAAAAAACAAAATTAAAACATAGATAGCAGACTCGAATTATACAAAATAATACTAAATCAATTACCATTTAATTATACGAACGACGAAAATTAAAACCTTAACTTTTTTTAATGATTTAAGGTTGACTTTCTCGCGTTGAATTCAGATTCTATATTTGTTATACCTATAAACATGGAATCAATTAAGACTTATTCAAATCCAAATTTGTTAGTAAACCAATTCAAATTGACTAGCAAACTAACTTTCTATAGAAATGTACTAAATAGAACGTGACGCAGATAAGAGCTACCGTAAGATAAACGAAAACAAAAATTGTTTTCAAAAGAAAAAAACAATGACAAAATGGAATGTAGTAATGGTAATATTGTTGGTGATGATTGCTGCGATAGGAGTAGAAGCAAGACATAAACATAGAAAGACTTGGATAGGTTGCTTTCGGTATTGTTCTCGCACTTGCAGCGAGTACGATGGAATTTGCTTTGAAGATTGTAAGATCAAATGTGGTGGTCCTACTCCTCCAAAAACTAATTCAAGGTAGAATTTTATTTTTTCACTAATTTTTTATGATAGAGTGGTACTTATTATCGTTAGAACGAACTAATCCGCTCCATCTAATCTTCTTCGCAACGTGGTAAAATATCATGATTGCGGGTTTACCTGCCAATAGACAATAGTGTGCGTTTAGCGGTTTAAAATTGTCCCTCATGATAGACTAACCCTAAAGGCCTAATCTGTTTTTAAACCTTTAAAACTTTAGTTCGAACATGTTCCATGTCATGACATTTATACTTAACATGCGGGTTCTTGATTCGAATTAACACCCTTGCTTGTCACACTTTATGTCTTGAATTTCGTAAATAAAATGTGAAATTTTGTTTTATTTTACTTTTCAATTATATATTTGATACATGATTAGGAATTTACATGGGAAGAATTATACGTACAATGAAGAAACGGAGGTTCGAGGAAAGAGAGATTGATAAAATGAACTCATGTAGAGACGACAATCATATCACTATTTACTAAACCACTAGCTAGTGTTCTTTAGTTTATGTGTTGTTTCGTGGAAGTTCAATAAAAAGACCATTCAAACATAGAGGCTTGCTTTTCATAAACAATATTATTTCCAAATAAAACCAATGTATAAAGAATTATATGTTATAAGACCATACATATATACTGGTCAAAGTGTCAAAAAAAGAAAATGTAATCGTTTAAGATGTGTTTGAATAATACTTTTACCTTTTTCAAAGATCATTTTTGTCTTTATGCATTAGTTGTACTCTTGTAGCAAGAGATATCTTCATGGGCGATCTCTGGAGAGATAAATCCTATGTCACATTATTCTTAGCTTCAAAAGACTTTGAAACTCAGCTCCTCTGTAATCAATATTTGGTCCCTCCATTCGCAGTGATCTTTCAATCTAAGCTCTTAAGAGTCTATCGCCGAGGTCATCGGAATCTCCCTGCTGCTAGATTTGATGCTCATGTTACCTTACACTTTACCTTACTCTTATATAACTATCTAGCATGTATACACTAAACCCCTCAGCATAGAGATGCTCCATCAGTAGAGGCTTCCAGAATCGTTTCTCCTTCTTCTAGGGGGTTCAGAAATCATTCGTCCTTATAATCTGAAGGGTTCAGAATCATTCATCCTTCTTCTGAAGGGTTCAGAAATCATTCGTTACTTTCCGCCACAACCAATCAAAAATCATTCATTAACGTTGTCCGACACTTTCCGCCACAACCAAGAAATCGCTGGAGTTGAAGGATAGTGATGCATACATTCAAAAAACCCTTATCAATGGCCCGATGTCCATTGAGGGATATGACACTTCGCTTCATGCATTGAGAAAACATTTCTCTTCATGCGGAAAGATCAAACATATTTATGTTCCAAGAGACTTTGAAAGTGGTACCCTCAAGAGAGTTGCCTTCATGAGGATTGAGGGAGAAGGTGCCGAAGACAAAGCATTGGAACTTAGTGGAACTGACGTGGGAGGATGGACTGCAATAGTTAAGGCTGCACCATGTGATGCGTTCATCACACCAGAAACTGAACCAAAGCTCATTCAAATAGGATGCACTATACGAATCACACCCGAGAAGGACATACGTTCATTGTGTGAACCATATCAGCTCAACAACAAAGATTCAAGGCAGGAAACCACTTGGAAAATATTCTCAGATCATCTACACAACCCCTCGAAGAAGAATCAGCCCAAAAGGAGTTCCTACGAAGGAGTTATTCAATTTACAAATCGGATGATTCCCAGCTTACCCGATTTGGACATATACGGGTTCATTGGAGCTTTCCAACCAGACCAGAAGGATTTAAGCTATGTAGTAAATGTTCCTACATTCTTGACTCATCAGAGGAGTTCGTCGAATTGGAATCAAGTCAAAACCAATTTTTGTTTAGAAGATATTAATTTTCTAAACCAGAATATTCTCGGCTTGCCTTATTTGGAAGCTGACGGGTTTAGTCACTTGCAAACCAAACTTTGGCGTCCAGGAGAGTTTCTAATACAACTAGGAGCTTCTAATATCACCTCAAGCTTCATTCTCAGCCATTGGATTAAGTGGATTCCATCTTGGCCATTCATACACCAAGACTTTCCATATCTAGACTCAATTGCCTTCCATGCACTCCAACAGCTAAATACATTAACCAAGAAAGACCATGACTTTTGGGAGACTCTCCATGAACCAGAGGCTCTTAGAACGTGGATATGTGAAGAAGATATCAAGATACAAGCACTTTCCAATTCTGGCGCATTCACACCTAGCATTCAAGCTCCAACGGCTCATTTCCTTTGTTGGCGACATTTGCTTTAACTTTTGTCATTATTTTAGAATAATTTAGCTTCTATATTTGCTAATGACCGTTTGTAGGTCCTGTAGACGAGCCTATAAAGCTCATATAACACAATTGTACCATGGACCTTGATCATATTAAAGTAATAAGAACATTTTCTTCTTGTCAAAGTTTGAGTCTTTGTCGTTTGTTCATTAGTCTTAAGTGAGTGAGTCTCTTAGGCCTATTTGAATCTGCGGATTAAGTTTGTTGATAAGTTCAACATCCTTGTTTCATTGATCGAGTGAGTCGATTAACCCATTGATTGAGCGAGTCAATCATACTATCTCCACATCGTTTCCATCCTTCCGCAAGATTAAGCTTGGAATCTCTTGATCATTGAGTGATCATAAGTTGGATTGGTTCCAATCTTATATCACCATGGCAGAAAGAAACCATGGATCCTTGGTGTGCTGCTCTTGCTGAGAGAAAGACCAAGGAACACAGTCTAAACGTTACGGGATATGACACTTAGCTTCTTGTGATTGATATCGAGATGGCGGTGTGTAAATATCTTTCTTCATGTGGAGAGGTCACGCGAATTGTGGTTCTCCCTAGCTGTGTTTGCATTTCTATTATAGGAGAAGGCGCTAAAACTAAGTGGATGTAACGGGGGAGGAATGACCCTTGTAGTCAGCCCTGTTCAGCTTGTACCGGAAAATGTAAGAGAAAGAAGCCGCTCAACCAATATTACTGGCTATGGCCATGTTCGGAACGTTGTCGCTGCGACTACGTTCGGCGACTGAAAATTAAACGTCAACAACGGCAAAAAGAAATAGTAGAAGTGTCGCTGCGACTACTTTTACAGAGGATGCCGGTGTCGTCGGCGTCGCTAGAAAAAACGGCGACAGTTATTATAGTCGCTGCGACTATTTTTACGAGAATGATGATGTTACTCTCTCACAGACTTGACGGGGAAGTAGTTATAATTTTCGGTCGCCGATCGCTGACGCAGCGATTACAAAAAGAACACGGCCTATATGCCCACAGGAAGCCGCTCCAATATTACTCACTATATGACCCGAGTTACATAAATTTTCTCTTGCTTTCTTGATTCTTGATTCTTGATTCTTGGTAACAAATTAAAAACATCTCATTAGTTTCCTTGTTTATACTCTCTTAGTAGAAGACGAACCTCTTTGGTGTTTTTAACTGTGTGTACAATACAACTGCTCCTTTCTCTACACAAACAGGTCCTACCGATTTGCAAGCAATGGACTGGATTTATCGGCCATGTTTACCGAAATCTTAGCGTTATCTCCTAATCTTTTCCTAGCACGAAATCACACTCCCTTAGAAAGACCTGTTCTGTTACTTGGATCCTAAAACTAGTGAAGCAAAATGTGAAGAACAAAGTTATGTCCTTTAGAGATCAAAACCAACTCTTTTCGCTTTGGACTTACTCTACTTCTTGATTCTGCACCTGTACACTCCTTGATTCTGCACCTGTACACTCCTATACAATAGAATTTCTCTTCGGGGAGGCTATCATTTATCGGTATGTTCTCCTCCTCGACCCATAGTCTAGACAAGTGATCCTCGACTCCATTCTCAATTCCTTTCTTATCCTTTATAACCAAATCAAACTCTTGGAGAAGTAACCGTCTAAACTCTTGGAGAAGCAAATTTGTATCCGTTTTAAATATATCGAATAACCGTCTAACAAAAATAGATAAATCATAATCCATTAAAAATCTGTATTCAAGAAGTAAACATAAACACAAATCATTTAAAATCTGTATTCAAGAAGTAAACATAAACACAAATCCCAAAATTAAATTACATATGTTTGTTTTAAAGACTAGCCATAAGGATCAAACAATTTTACAAATCAAAAACAGATAAGAAACAAAGCCAACAACAAAAGTGGAAGAAGCTTCTGTATGTTGTTACCAGATAAAGCTCGAGACTTGGTTCCAAAGTTGATAACTTTATTCTCTGCAAAATCACCCACAAAGAAACAGAGCATAAACATCAATAAACAGAGAGACAATATCTCCATTAATGAAAGTCAGCATTAGCTCAAGACTTAACTGCATTCTTTAGGATGACAAAGACATCTTAGAGCAACACCACAGTTACCATCTGGTCTCTCACAAGCGATGCATAAATCTGGTATGTGACCTTCGACTTCCATAGAAACCCTAGCTCTTAATTTCACTTCCTCTGTTCTAGAGACATGGAAGAGACCAGTTGAGGTTTTGAAGTAGAGTTTTCCAGATCTGCAGGTTATGAAATTAGATGGGTTTGAGATTGGAGTTTTACCACAGTAGTAGATTTCTTCTTGTGGGTTTTGTGTGGAAGGTGAGAAAATTAGAAAGAAGAGGAGAAGAAGAAGGAGGATCTTGCTGGGAATTTCTTGCATTTCTGTTTCTTTCTGCTTTGTTGCTTTGCACAGTAATTTACAATGAGAGTGATTTTTAGTAATCCAACCAAACAAAAGTTACATATAAAGTTACTTGCCCAATAAAAAAAAAAAGATACATATAAAGTTACATACAAGTTCTTAAGACTATTTTTATCTTAAAAGAATTTCATTATTTACTCCAAAAAATAAAGTAACAAAGAGTATTATTTCATATTCGAAGTTTTACCGTTCATATTTCTATTTTGGAATCAAAGTTTTATGTTATCTACATGATCTTCTAAATGTTATATGTTAATATTTTGTAATTAAGCAAAATTATAAATAATAAAGTTAGTTGTCAAATTAATTAAAATTTAAAATTCAGTGATAAAACTAAACTATTGGAATGCTAAATTGGAAATAAAATTCTAAACGATTGTAATGCAATTGAAAATAAAATTCTACACCAATGATAAAACTAAAAATACATAAAGAATATCATAACTCAAAAACGCTTAAAACGATGGTACTTATTTAATAATCTCGACTTATGATTATGAAACCACTAAAATCATTAAAGTATCATCTAAAACGAATCAGATACAATGCAAGTAGAGTTTGTTTGTATTGTTGTTGTTGATCAAAAAGCACTATTACATACATAAGCAACGACTATTGGGCCCAGGCCCATCCTTTTCTTTGTCCCTTCTTCTTCTTCTCTCTCTTTCGACGGTTATCTTTTAAAGGGTTCAGGTTCTCTAGCGATTGCTCAAACTTTTCCGATTGCAATCTCTGGTTATGTTAATGAGAGAGCGGATTCGCGATTCTCTGCCTCGACGATCGTCTTCACCTTCTCCGACGAGTGACCGTGACAGGAACGAGTCTAGCGTGATTAAACCCGGCGATGTTTCAAACCGTTCCGATCAAATCGATGTGGTTTCTCACGGAGTCGAGGACCGGGAACAAGATATTGATGGTACACGGAGAGATTCTGATCTGTACGACGTAGAGATTCAAAGACGCACTGGATTTTCTAATAAGGACCGACGAGAAGAAGAAGAGAGAGACGATGAACGTTATGTGAAACATTTTCATCTGCAGGAAGATTCCGGCAAACGGTATGTGGAATCATCGAGATTCATCACATCGCATAATCCATTGAGATTGAGTGACGAATCTAAGCCCTCTAGATTCATCACATCGCATGATGATGAGTATTCTCCATCTCATGGGAAGAATGTGCTGCTAAAGAACGATGAAACTAATCGATTGGAATCGATTTCTCGCGAGTTTAGTGATTCATCTCGTCATAGTGAAGATGGTAGAGACAGAGATACTGTTAGATATGAATCATCACCTCTGTCACAAGTAGGGTCTAGTGTGGCTGATTTCCAAGACGAAACCTCTAGGCTTGTTAGTTCAGATTCTAGATCTTTCGGTCGTGTGAATGATTCCGATGAAAGAAGAAGACTTGATTATGATGGGAATCTTTGTGCATCCCTTGTTTTACAGGCTAGACGTGTTGATGATCAACAAGTGAATTCCTTTTATAAGCGTGGAGACCATGATTCACCAATTGTGAGCAAGTGTGGCAAAGAGATAGTGGATGAATCTCGCAATCATTATCATATAGGCTCTGATATAGCAATGAGAGAGTTTCCCAGTGTTAGGCATGAGGTCAATAATGTGGCTAGAGAGAGTGATCTTCTTATGCAGACAAGAGGATCTTTATCAAAATCCCATGTCCGTGTTTCAAATATAGCTGATGTTGATGCGGCCGATACCCATCTTGAGTTTTGCAGGAAAGAGAGGATGGCTGACCATTATGAGTCTGTGAAGGAAGATTATCCTTTTGTGGAGTTGGGATCAAGAGTGGTGAATGAACGAGATGATAAGGATGATCACTACAGGAACTTCTGTAACGAAGAAAGGAAGGTTGTTTATTTGGATAACAAATGTCAACCACTGAGAAAGGATTATCAATGTGATGGTGTTGACAGTATGAAGAATCTTGCTTTCAGTGAACCATATGCTGTCGTAGATCAAGATGATAACGGTTCACAGCGCATAAATCGCTGCTTAAATAAAGAAAGGGAAGCATATTTGGATAATGAGAGAAATGCTGTTTTTTCAGATGATAAAAGACGGGAACTGAGAAACGAGTATCACTGTGGCAATGATGGTAGGATGCATTCTGAGGTAGATAGGGCAGATATTTTGGTAGATCAGGATGGAAGAGGAGTGCAGCTTCAACGAGTATGCTTAAACAAAGGAAAGGCAGCATACTTGGATAATGAAAGGAAGGATGTTTATCTGAATTACAAAAGCCGGCAACTGGAAAAAGATTATGACTCTCGCTCTGATGCTAGGATTTATCCTGATGTCAACAGATTAGATATTCTGGTAGACCGGGAACGGGAAGATGTTAGAGGTTTAAGGTATAGAGGAGGGTCCTTAAATGATAGGAGGGAAACATATTTACCTTGTGAAAGTCAGCAACTCTTAAATGATCATGAAACTAACTCCTATGGCATGATGTATCCCGATGTCAACAAATCAGATATTCTGGTAGACCGGGAAGATTCCAGAGGTCTAAGGTATAAAGGAGTGTCCTTGAATGATAAAAAGGAAGCATACTTGCAATGTGAAAGCCAGCGACGCCTAAATGATCATGAAACTGACTCTTATGTCACGATGCATCCCGATGTCAACAAATCAGATATTCTGGTAGCCCATGAAGATGCCAGAGGTTGGAAGTATATAGGAGTGCCCTTAAATGATAGAAAGAAAGCATATTTGCAACGTGAAAGCCAGCAACTCCTAAACGATTATGAAACTGACTCGTATGTCATGATGCCTCCTGATGTCAACAGATCAGATATTCTAGTAGACCATGAAGATGCCAGAGGTCTAAGGTATAAAGGAGTATCCCTAAATGATCGAAAGGAAGCATATTTTCAATGTGAAAGCCAGCAACGCCTAAAAGATCATGAAACTAACTCTTATGGCATGATGCATCCCAATCTCAATAAATCAGATATTCTTATAGACCGGGAAGATGCCAGAGCTCTTGAGCTAAGAAGAGTATCCTTCGATGATGGAAAGGAATCATACATGGATTATAGAAGGGGGGATGCATATCCGCGTTACAAAAGCCAACTGAAGGAAGATTATGACTATGGCATTGATGACAAGATTTATCGTGATGTCAACTCTTCAGATATTATTGTAAACCATGGAGATGCCAACGCACTAGAGGTTAGAAGAGTAGCCTTCCGTGATAGAAATGAAGCATATTTGGATAATGAAAGCAAGGATGTTTATGAGCATTACAAAAAACAACCACTGAAGGACTATGACTCTGGAATTGATGAAAGGATGTATCCTGCTGTCACCAAATCAGAGACTGTGGTAGACCAAGGAGGTGCTAGAGCTCTAGAGCGTAGAGGATTATCCTCGAATGATGAAAGGGGAGCCTATTTGCACTATGAAAGCCAGAAAATCCTAAGGGATCATGAAATTGATTCGTATGGGATGATGCATCCTGACGTCAGTATATCATCAGCTGGCAAGCAAGATGAGGAAACTCTTCGAGGCAGGAGATATCTTTTTGATGGTCGAGATCAAGTCTACTTGGATGATGAGCGCTTGCAACGACGAAATGGTGGTCATGTTCAAGTTCATGCCAATATGAGATATCCAGATGGTAGACAAGAGGTTTATCATTCAAATGATCCAATACTGCGTACAAGAGATGATTATGGTCTTAGAGACGACGCAAGTGAGGTTATATATGAGAATATGGCTTATGATTACGACTACGGTGATGCTAAGCAATCAAGAATGTCTTATGAGAAGGAAGATAGGGAGAGGCTCCGCGAACGTGAAGTAGCGTATGATTACAGAGACAAGCTAGGGAACTATGCAGTGGATGGAGGAACAAGCAAAGACCAATTCCGATACTTAACTGATGAAAGGAATTTTGGTAACGTTGATCACACATCAACTCCGCGCCGTCGATTATCTGCGAAAGAGCGGTTAGGTGGGCGTGTCGAAGAAGATTCACGTGTTCATGTGAAACATAGACTGCATCAGGTTAGAAACCCAAAACTAAAAGGTAAGTCCCATAAGAGGAACCTCTGCTGAGGTCGTCGCTTCTCTCAAGATTGTTAATTCCTCCAAACAAGATTGAGAGAGAAAAGCTGGCTTGTGGGTTCTAAGTTAGGATGTGAAAACAAGGATCCTAAATTTGTAATCTCAGTTCTTTGTTGGTCTGAGAAACAGATTCCAGGATTGAAGTTTTTTGGCAATTACTCAGTGAGGAAGGATATGAGGATATTATCTTGGTTAGTAGATATGCTTCTTTTGGCGTTGAACTTGGGCTTAAAATGTTGAGATTTGTCTGTCTTTTAGATTGTTTGGTCGGTGGTTGATATATCGACCTATCAAGTAGACAGTGGTTAACCTAGACGTTGGTCTATTTTGGTTTTTGGTATTGATATTGACATGGGAGATCAACAAGTAAATAACTCAACAAGTTTATATAATCTGACAACTTTTTCTTGTTATAATCTCGACACATGAAAGATTTCTCGTATTGTAGTATTCATGGTGACTCCTTGATAGAACTGTTGAAAAAATTTCTGAGACGGAGTAAGACGCAAAAAAAACAAGTGAAAACAAATCACAGTTCAAACTGGTTTTGGTCATCTCTCGGTCCAAGTGGATTCGGTTTACTTGTTATGAATGACAAGAAAGAAGAAAGTAAACTAAACCGATTGATTTATACAGAATCTCTGATTTAATTAGATTTGGTTATGGATTGATTCAGTTCGGTTCAAATGATGAATAGCTATACCGGTCTGGTTTTAAAACCCATGAGTCAAACCCGCTTTTATCAATAAACCTTGAATGACGTCATCTGCCACGTCATCAGAACACTAAAACGCTACCGTTTCATTTTTGACTCTCCCCTTGTTCCTCTCTTCTCTCTTCTTTTCGCTTTGTTGCTGCTCTCTTCTCTTCTCCGCCGGAAAGTCGTGAAATCTCTGCGACTTCATGAATGAAGAAATCGTCTCATCTCTCTACTGAAGCTAAGCAGACTTGAAATTTCTCTGTATAGTCGTTCTTTAAGTTTGATTTCGTACGTTCTTCGTGTCTTTTCTTCTTTAAGAGATGCGCTCCAAGGACAAAATCTCCTACTTTTATGATGGTATATTCATCTCTTTCTCTGTTCTTCTTTCTTTAAGAAAAAAATCCAATAGTTCTTAAGAATTGAGGTCTTTATTCTTTATTCATCTAAGTTTTCACTTGTAACTCTTGAGCAAGTTTTATCCACTTGAACTGCACTACTTGGTGTCTTTATTGCTCAATAGATGCATCGAAAGGTCGAATCTTTCAAATCTAACGTCTAGACTAAGTAAAGGGTTACGATTAGTTTGGGAATACTCCAGGTCGATTTAGTTTTTGAGTAGGGTTTTTGATGAAAAGAAGGAAGGGTTTTAGGTGAAGTTTTTGATTTTTCGATTCTTTGGATCTAGTGTAAGCTTAAGCTAGAAGCCTTCTTGTGGTGAAAACGACTCTAGTTCTTGTGAAGTTGACTTCTTTGATTGTTTTGGTCAAGTCTTTGTTACTTCTTTGCTGAAATATGAGACCCTAGAACTTTTTGTTAACTTTAGCATTGTGTATAAATGTTTCAAATTGTGTTCTTTCGAGGTTCCTCTCTGAGAAAATTTTATAGACTTGATAGTTATATAACCTCCCTTTTCGTACTTCAAGATGTTCTGCATGATTCAAACTCTGATGAGAGTTTCAGATTTTTTTCTTGTTGATGATGGGAGCCTTTTTGTGGCAGTTTATATGAAATTTTGATGTTATGGTTGATTGTTTTTTTTTTTTGGGTTGCAGGGGATGTGGGGAGCGTGTATTTTGGTCCGAATCACCCGATGAAACCTCACAGGCTTTGTATGACTCATCATCTTATCCTTGCATATGGCCTCCATAGCAAGATGGAAGTTTATGTCAGTCTCTTGCTCATCTTTCATGTTTCTTGTTCTTGATCCTTTTATTCCTTTTGTTTATGATCTCACTGTACATCTTGATTGAAATCTTTGATATGTTCTCTATTGTTTCAGCGTCCACACAAGGCATATCCTATTGAGATGGCTCAGTTCCATTCTCCCGACTATGTAGAGTTCCTGCAACGAATTAATCCAGAAAATCAGAACTTGTTTCCCAATGAAATGGCTAGATGTAAGTTGTGTATCTTCATTAATTGGTTTTGCAATCTACATGTTCTGCTGAAATTAAGTTACTGTGATGCAGATAATCTGGGAGAGGATTGTCCTGTGTTTGAAGATCTGTTTGAATTTTGTCAAATTTACGCTGGCGGGACCATAGGTAAATACACACAGTTGGTATTCATCTTTGCTTGTGACTTTAGAGAAATGACTGACTGAAAATTTTGTCTATAGATGCTGCACGCAGATTAAACAACAAACTCTGTGACATTGCTATAAATTGGGCGGGCGGGCTGCACCATGCCAAAAAATGTGATGCATCTGGGTTTTGTTACATCAACGATCTTGTACTAGGAATTCTTGAGTTGTTAAAACACCATCCCCGTGTGCTATACATAGATATAGATGTTCATCACGGTGATGGAGTTGAAGAAGCTTTTTACTTCACTGACAGGTACAGTTACAAGTCCATAACACTACTTCTCGAAAGTTGTTTCTATAGAAATTGATTGCCAATATCTTTGAATTTTGTTATGGCAGAGTAATGACTGTTAGCTTTCATAAGTTTGGGGATAAGTTCTTTCCAGGGACAGGCGATGTTAAGGTAGTAATATTCAGAATTCATTTCCTGATTTGTGAGGACGGTTTCAATATGTTTGGATGAATTTTCATTGTGATGTTTTTTTTCTTTTAAAAGGAAATAGGAGAAAGAGAAGGGAAATTTTACGCCATTAATGTGCCGCTGAAGGATGGAATTGATGACAGTAGTTTCAACCGTCTGTTCAGGACAGTAAGTTCTTGAACTGAAACAATCAAATTCTCAATGCTTTCACTGTTTTTGTGTGTTTGATCATTTCCTTTGATCTCTAGATAATTTCCAAGGTTGTTGAGATATATCAACCGGGTGCAATTGTTCTTCAATGTGGGGCAGATTCACTAGCCAGGGATCGACTAGGATGCTTTAATCTCTCTATTGATGGTGCTTTTTCTTCTTGTAATCAAAAATCTCTTTCTCTCTTTCAATCTCTTCTTTGCTAGTTTCTGTGACTCAGATTCTGAAACGACTTTCCCTTATGCATTTCCCAGGACATGCTGAATGTGTTAAATTTGTGAAAAAGTTCAATCTTCCCTTACTGGTATCATCTATCTCCCTCGATTTATATCCACTACGGCTTTTTGTAATCTTAAGTTCCTCTATGACGAAGTCAGTATTGCTTGTTTTTTAGGTTACAGGAGGTGGAGGATACACAAAGGAGAATGTAGCTCGGTGTTGGACCGTTGAGACTGGCATTCTTTTGGACACAGAACTTCCTAATGGTTAGTAAATTTCTTAATGTTTGTTATAGTACGGTTAACGTCACATGCTCACGGGTTAATTGTTCTGCAGAGATTCCTGAAAATGACTACATCAAGTATTTTGCGCCGGATTTTTCTTTGAAGATACCAGGTGGTCACATTGTAAGGAGCTCTTATGTCACTTATAGTTCCTCATTGCTTTAACAAAATCTATATACTTGATGTTTTGTGTTTTGAAATTGAAACAGGAGAATCTGAATACCAAATCATACATCAGTTCGATCAAAGTGCAGATTTTGGAGAACTTGCGATACATTCAACACGCTCCAAGCGTACAGATGCAGGAGGTAAACTCGGATCATCATAGGACAACTGATGCTTTAATCAATCTTCTTTTTTTGGTGTTATCTTAACACTGATCAGTTTTTTACTTGAATTTCATAGGTTCCACCGGATTTCTACATACCGGATTTTGATGAAGATGAACAAAACCCGGATGTACGTGTGGATCGTAAGTATCGATAACCACCTTGAAATCTAATCCCTTTGTTTTCTCAGTGACTAATGTTCGATTGTAAACGGTTTGATTGTTTCAGAGCGTTCGCGAGATAAGCAGGTCCAAAGAGACGATGAATATTTCGATGGGGACAATGATAACGATGCTTCGTAACTTCGATTCTTAGAACAGAAGACAATCCATTGTTGTTTATTTTTTGTTTGGTTATGAGAATTGTAATGATAACAACATTTTAATGGCTATTGGGCACCAAAACCACTAATTGATTCCAGCTTCTTCATCTTTTTCTCTTGGTGTATATTAATGGAGCTTTTCTTGTTCATTACTTCGTCACTGTTACAGTTTTTGATTTACTTTTTTTTCAGTTTGGTTATCCAGAAGTTCAATTTTGATCAAATTCAATTCAAGTTATATAAGACACTAAGAGCATCCACAGTGAATAAACTTGAGTATATATGTTAGAATATTTTTTATGTGATAATAAAAAAAAAAGAGAAGAGGGAGAGAGATAATAGAGAGATAATAGAAAGGAGAGTGAGACATGTAGCACTTACACCCGTTTGTAAGTCTACAAACATTTTTTTTTTTTTTTTTCACAAACATCTTACAAACATCTTTTTTCTCTTTCATCACTATTTGATTATTTTTGTTTTTTTTTTTAATTATAAAACCCGAACAAAAGTTGCGCCTCTATGTATGGCCTAAGACCATACACAGTGGGATAATTTTTAGAGGGGTGTGAGTAATAAAAAAATCGAAAATAATAGAATAGTGCGTTTGGAGACTGAATCCGGGTGTGTGATAACACTCGGGTGTTATCTCACTTGTCTTCCTATGAGTGGTTGCGATGAATAAAAGCAGCAGTTTTAAGCTTGACAACGATTTTTGTTAGTCTTTTTCTTCATTTCTAAACTTAACCTCTTACATTATTTTAATAATAAATTACCACTAACACACATCCTCCCACTTGTCCCGTATGCCCTAAAGATGCATAAAAAAAATAGATTAAAAAACACTAATGAGAAATACTTTTGAATAGGAATAATTTAGGTAGATCTGACTGAAATCGAATGTCAAAAAACAATGTAGAGAATAATTTAACAAATAAAAATAGATTTGAAAACCAAAATTCAATGATTATTAACAAAATCTGAGAAAGAACAGAAAAAAAAATACTGATCAAGAATTTGAGGTTTTCTTGATAAAAATTGCATCAGAGTCATGGAAGTTTATGATTTCCAACACTGCTCAATAATTTGAGCTTCTTTTATCAATGGTGATTAACTCATCATTTGCAATCAGATGGGTATACAACTATAAAAAATCATTAGAAAGAAGTGAAACAAAAAACACAATTGTATAAAAGAAACAGAGAAAATGATAAACAAATCGAGAGAATAAAGAATTGGTTTCATTGTGCAGAATTGCAGATGTAATTTATTGGGGGCTGCGATTGATGTAGGGTTTTACATATATATTTATACGAAGGTGGTCAAAATCTAACCCTAGGGT